CAACGATGTGCTCTGTGTGTCGAGAAGGGAGAGGGGTATTTGTACCGCGAAAATACGACCCCTTCCTCCTCACACCTAATACATTCCTAGTTTTTCCCAGCTTACCTCCAGTTTTTCGTGAATTTCTCGAAAATTCCCCTGCTTTTCCATTAAACTATTGGTGTCAAGCGCGAAGGAAAGAAAAGCACATGCGAGAACGTCAGAAAACCGCGAAAAATTTTTCTCAACGCCGCAAATTTTTCTCGGAAGGCGATTCCCCTGATAACGTCCGTGAAACAGGAAAATTAACTGCGAAAAAAAAATGTTCTCAAACCAAATACGGTCCCCTTCCTTCTCCCAGCAACCAGATACTACCCCCTTTCTTGGGAAATTCCGGAGGTGGTGTACCCTGAATGGGGCAAAACACAGTACAGTCGTTATCACTGGAATTAGTCGAGGCGCTTCTGAGGGGTATGGGTTGGCGGGCGCCAGGCCGTTCCCATCGTCAACTGTTGCTTCGGTCATTCAATGAAAGGGTGAGAAAGAGGCTAGCGCCGCGCGAAAACCCATGCGTCCCTGACACGCCCCGACTAGCTTCAATGTAACGACTGTAATCCGCAGCATTGGTGGAATATCTCTCCTGTGAATTCGCTGCTCTTCAACACAGGGCAAGCGCCACCAACATAGTTGCCGCGCCACATAGCGCCCTCTCGCGAGGTGCTCGGACGTTTGTCTCGGCACATACCCTACCGGAAGCGCAACCGCCGGCATGTTCGGATAACGTACACGCCACACCCTCCCCATCTCCCGTATAACTGGTGTGATTGACGATTACCATTGGGATTACCTTTATCACGAGTGAAGGCTGCTGTAGCACCATGTGGTACGTGCTTCCAATTCAAGCTTATAAGACGGGCGTACGACTGTTCAACTCGTCGAGCCTTCACGTCCAGTTTCCAGTAGTCACGTTCAGCCCACAGATAAGTTGCTGGAGGGCTGAAGAACAAGTTCGGGGTATGATTTTCCACAAAAACTTTTTCAAAAATCAAAGTAAATACAATTTGAACGAAAATAACATTTTCGAGATGTATTCATTGAACAATTATTTTCTGCAAAACTTGAAATTCTTATGAAAAAGGTGAACCTACTCAAAGTAGTGCCATTGATAAGCAAGACGAATACTTGCAAGATTTTCGGGGAGACCCAAGATGGCTTAATGGCCGTGGACCATCCAGAATTCGTCGTTCAAGGAATATCCAGAATCGATTGCCTGAAGAGTGCATCATAATGAGTGGGCCGATTCGAATCTCAGCAAAAATTCGAAATAAGCCTTAAATTAATTGAAAAAAGATAAGAATCATGACTTCGTTTATACGCAGATTCGTTAGGAGAACGTTCGAAAGACTATCACAAGAATGCTGAGTTACGGGCAGAAGTCGATTTTCGAGCGGGAGTCGAACCCGCACCTCACGCTTTCCGGGCGAGCGCGCTATCCGTTACGCCACCAGGACCACTCTTACCCTCTCACACACTTTTAACATGGTTCTTGTCCAAAACGAGAACACTAACGGAAATGGATTTTCAGTAGGCATAGAGGGTGCAAAAGAGTTCCGGAGTGGTTAAGTGGTCCCAGGCGTATGAGGGTGATAGTAGTCTTGAACAAGGAATGGGCAAAAGTATTCATCACAAGCGGGACTCGTACTCGCATTCGCGCTTCGGGCGAGTGCAGTAATGGTTACGGATTTCAGTTCCGATAGCGCGATCGCCTCTTGCCCTCCCATTTCACTATTTTATCGTTCATATCCCTAAGCACGTTAGAAGCAATTTCCGCCTTAACTGTATGGGCGGAGACTCATGCTCATCCTGACTCTCGTTGGTGCTCCGTCCGAAGTAACATTTTAAAGAGGAGAGTGCGCCAAAGAGCAAGGCACAACGGTTGCGAGCCTTTGCTGTTTTTTCCGCACATGCCATTATCGCAGAACGTGCAGTCATGATCCCTGCACAAACGAAGGAGTGGGTGAAGCGGCACGGGTTGCACTGCAACCACTGCGTTCTTTCTCCACCAATGAGGCCATTCTAAGCCCGATACAGTAGACGAGAAATCGGACTTGGCTGCACTTCAAGCCATATCTCTGTGACACGCCCAGTCATTTGCAGGGATCACTACCATTTCTTCACTAAATGCTGGGAAAAAATGTTTCAATATATGATTTCTAGATTGTTCAATGTTGACATAATTATATTTTTTGGCTCATTTATATTTATTTACTCAATTGCTTTATAGAAGTTAGAACTTAACGTACCTGAAAAGATCCAGATTTGACCATTTATCTCTACAGCAGCGTCGACTTTCTCTGGTAACCCAGGAAAAAGGTCAGAAATGGGAATCGGGCCGTAAATCTGTTGACCGTCATTTACCACTCTCCACAACCATTTGCCCTGAGAAAGTGACTTTTCCAGGATTTTTGTTGTTCGCTCACAATCTATTTACTGTAACAGGTTTTTTTATCAGCTCTTATCTACTATAGAAAAAAACAGAGCAGTGAAAGAGGGGGCCCACCAGCACATGCATGAAACGTCCAACCAATCAAATTTGAGCCCTCCATCCCTACGTGACCAACTAATTATTGAGCCCTCCATCCCTACGTGACCAACTTATTGATATACCGGGGTATGATACAGCATGGGGCCCACCCTCCCCCTTTCCGAACCACGTCTTCTAGCACGACCCCTCTCATCAACTACCTGCCACCTTTCCAAGTCCTTCCAACTTTCTGCTTCCTTTCGATTTCTTTAAAAAAATTTAACCGGTTTTTTGAACAAATGTTATGGGACAGGGAAATACCGCATGCCAAATCGCTCGTACGTAAGGATCGCCAGAAATATGTAGTTCAAAGCGGTAAGGCGATGGCTTTGTAATATACAACGCACTAATGGTGCCGGCCAGTTTGGTGTATCCCCCTGACAAGTTCGTTAGCAACTAACCACCCCGAAGCGATGAACTGGTTGATGACCTAGACGGGAGGCCTGAATCCTGGATTGTGCACCTGGTGAGCAGCACCATTTATCACAACACCACCTCTGCTCTCAGCTCGTAGATAACAGGATAAATACCTTGAATACTATGAACTCTCCACGGAACGTCGTGACTGCGTCCGCTCCTGATGTGCACGGATGTGGCCTGAAAGCGGTTGATAATTACAAGAGACGATTTGCGGGAGATTCCACAGGACTGCACTGATAGCTACTACCCTATTTTCTGGCGTACGAGGCCACATTTCTCTGCCACGTAGCGACAACGCGTGCAAAAATTGCTCGACACCAAGAAAGCTTTTCAATATGCTTCGCGCATCCGCAAAGAATTACTGCTTTAAAGGAGCGGTCCGCGATGACCTAAATGCAGAAGGCTATGTGGAAAAAGTAAGTGCACGCTTTGGAGCTGGATCAACCCTGTGTCAGTTTTCCGGCGGAAAGTGGCACGCTAAATGAATGAAGGCGCAAAAATGCTCAGATGGTACATCCCTTTTCCCAGTGACTCCGCCCCCCGGACCCCGCCTCCGAAATCGGCCTTCCAGCCAAAAGTATCATGGAGTGGTTGCATTCAATGTATCATGAAGAGTCATAGGATTCATTACTGGGAATCAGCTAACGGGAAGCTCCCAGCGCGCGGTCTTTTTGGTCTTTTACCTCTACAGTTCTTTGAGGCCAGAGGAGACTTGACGAATGCGTTTCCACGTTTCCTTCGGCATTTTCTTTTCATAGACGGTTCACTTGGCGAATTTTCCCCCCACATTTCTGCATCATTCACCTAGGCTTTATATCGGCAGCGGACCGATGCCTTTGAAGATACATCAGTCCCCCTAGGCAAAGGACACGCAAAAACTCTATTCGAGGCGGAGGTGCGCCCTATGTACTCGAATGCGCCTTATACCATAGAAAATAGGCAATAAACATTCGAAATCCCTTAGAATTGCGGTAGGCGTGGTTGCGCACTTCAACAAGACATGGCGCTGGCTGTGCTTCTGGTGAGATATTTTCATTTTAAAATTTTAATTGTGGTCATGTCTATGCCCACAATAGAACAAGATGGCAGTTGTCTCGAGTTGAAATATTCCACGAGTAACCCATCCTTTGCCATGTCCAAATGTCACGCCTACCCGGACTCAGGGATAAGGAGTATACCTATGGAGTGTTTTGAGCAAAAACAGGAGATGAGGTACTCTTACTCGGTTTCCTCATCTTGTTCATGCTCTTGCTCTTTCTCCTTGGACTCCCCACTTCGGGTGTCATCTGCTGCACGGCTGCGCCCGTGACCTCCTTGACTCGTTTCTCTTCTTGCTGGAGGACCTGCAAATGAGCGGTTGTTGAAGCAGTGCAGAAAAAACAATCCAAGTGAAAATGTAGCAGGTTGATTTGCGAGCGCGTTGGGTACAGGACTGATACGGCAACAGTCGCCTGTCATTGGAGGGATGTCTGTAGAAACGAATCGAGAGCAAGTATTCCATGCGGTGCTTACAGCCAGCTAGGAGATCGCAGAAAGCGTTTTTAGATTAGTGCGTTAGGAGTACATTTCGCATTCGTTTAGCTATGCCTTATTTCTGTTACGGTCTTGTAAAAACCTAGTGCGGCCTTATGCTACGCTGAGATACTATGTAAAGGCAGCACCGTTTCAGCATGCTGATGGACCAGCACGCTCTACATTAAGACACAGTATTCCAACGCGTGTTCGCGAGCAGCGTGATTCTTATGGTTAGTTCAAAGTTGAGCGCACAGAGGACGATGCAAGTAATCGTCGTGTAATCAACGTGCGTCCTGCCTCCCTGATGTGGCGATGCAGATAACCGCGTCGTCGCCAGCGGCGGATGAAGCCAAGTAGAACTCAAAGCAAAAAGAATTGAAAGTTTCCTCTTGTTATGTCCTTTTTCAGAGTGCCTTACCTCATGTTTCAGAGGACCTGCATCCGAGCTCAAAGGGACAGAGTTAAAACATCGCCCTCGTTCATCTGATGTTCCTAGCCCCTCTTATAGGTTGGTCGAAAAGTCCTGCGACACTTTGACCAATTTTTCGGACTAAATTTTCAGTCACTAAAAGACATCTCCAATCTACAAGGTAATCACCACTAAGGACTAGGACTAGTGCCCTTCTTTTGCACAGCTTCTCATTTCCATTCTTATAGAACTACGGCAACTATGATAAGAAGAAGAGGTGGACCTCACTTTTGAGTAGACGGCGATTTTCGGAAATTTTGCCTTCTTAAGAATGCGGTAGGGATCAAAAAAGGTAGTATTTAGAGACTGCTAACTTTGATGAATAAGCTGGGTATGGTCGCATTCTCAGATCAAGATCTACGATCTTTTGGTGTGGCCTGATCCTAACATGCGGTCTTCGCATTGCCGAGCGGTAGAAAAATTGAGTATTTTTGAAGAATTCAAGCGTGACGTCATCCATGTTGTGAGGTTGGTTAGAGTGGACTGTAGTCCTTACCGTTATGCTAGTATCCAGAGATACCGCTTTGAAGTCCCACCAATAACCTACTGAAATCTTTATCCCATGCACATCTGCTTTTGGCTGTGCAATCTACTTTTCTCTCTGAGAGATCCTGCGAGGAACATGTGCAAGATGTACGCAAGGACCCCACCACTCTCTACCAACCACAAGATCTCACAAATGTTCCTCCAGTGTGTACAAGGAAAAAAAACTCAGTCACGGTCATTCGGTATGACTTGTCAGAGGGGTTCAACTCATGAGGCATCCTTCATAAAAAATTTTTCCGATAACCGAGACTGCGGAGAAGCATGGCGATTGTCAGTTAGGTGGAGCCCAGAGAGGTTGCCAACTTACTGGTGGTTACGTTCGGCTGCGCCTCAAGAAGCTTGAGTAAAGGGTCGTCATTCTGTGCTGGTGGCCGACCTATACATTGCCTACTTCCGAGTTGAATAAGTCCAGCCTGGAAGCGCTGATGCAAAAGGAACTCTCTGCTATGGCGAGCGATATCCTTCCTCAAGACAACGTAAGTGTTAGCTTCCTCGACTATGGCGGAGTTGCCCTACAGGAACTCATAATATGGGATAGGTCGAGAAGTACCTCGATCTCTGAGGTATTTTTAAGCTTTAAAACTTCCACGGAGCCATGATATACCCATTTTCAGAAACCTCAGGAGACAGTCTCCACTAATCAGAGATAAAAACATTCGAAATGATTTTTGGTCTTTTTCTAGAATAGTTCAAACAAAGTGTCGCAGGACTTTTCGACCAACCTAATAGTTAGATATGGCGTAGCTTTTCGACAAGGTGGAGCATGCACTAATTTCGCAGCCCCAGAATGGCATTAGGAGGCGCCCATCCGCCTGTGGATGAGGGATGCCGGCCCCGCTCACCTGGCTGTTATAACAGCTTTGGCTTATCCTTTGAAGGCTGAGCCCGTTTTCAAGAATAATGAGTTATGGAGCTCGCAAAAAAAATCGTTGGAAGTGTCCCATATGGAACTCTCTGCTGGCCATGGTGGGCGGTGTGGGCCAACTCTTCACTAGCGAACGGCGCTATCCTCTTCGCCTTTTTGAGATGCAAAAGTAGTACAAACTGCATCCTCCTATAGGTTATCGATCATCTTAGCAGAGCGGCGCGGGAACATCAAAATGAAACGTGGGCGCTGCCTATCAAACAGTCGCGGTCAATCACAAACAAACGATCTAGCTCTATACCATCGCCAGACATACATGCCCCATATCGTGAAGTCGGGGAGAGCCTTGCACGGCCGGATAGTGTCTGATTCGTGAGAGCAACGGCGGGTGCATCTGGTGAATCGTCGTTGCGTCTCAGGAAGAGAGGCGCAATCAAAGGGCGTTAACATATTATCATCGAGCTGTGTTTGTGCTTGTTCACCACGCCTACCTACGTCTATCTGAACCGGTAGCAGTATTCACCAGGGCAAAGCATTGCAGCCGCCACACTCATAAACGTAGGGCACGCCCTCTCCTAGTGCCGTTAATAGACTGTAAATACAGTGTCTATGGCAGTTTACTTGCTAACAGTAGTCCTTATGTCGAAACACTCATCTGCTAATTTACACTCTGTTAACAGCATCTTCCGGAATAGTATTCTGCTTCATCCTGCGGGCTCTATCCCAACAGAGGCAGCAGCACATCCTGGAGCAGAAAAGGAAGTTCTAGAACTATCATGTAGACGCGACTTTAGGCTTCGCTGTCATTCCTTGGCGTACAACCCTTTCGGATTCCTTCCTGTGTGGGCTGCGACCGCGTAAGGAAGAACATACAGTAATCACCTCAAATGGTCACTCGGATTACCTGTGAACTGGGTTGCTGTTTTTACCGTTTTCTCAATAAGTTTCAATCGCGCACCAAACAGATAAGTGTTGGAATAGGTCCAGAACTTACCGTACAGGCTTTGGATGGTGTATATATCCTGTGGAGTAAACTGCTGCCCTTCGACAAGTATCGGATACATGATACTGTTCACATCACCAACATGTGGCAGTCCCAGCGCATGTCCGATTTCATGTATCGCGGTCGAAAGCAATAGAGGAGCTGAAAACGCATAGACTCAAAATCTCGTTGTTGGACAAAAAGTGCCCGCGGACTTGGTTATGAGCGCGGCCGCGGTGGTAGGGCACAGCATGGTGAAATGGCCGTTTCAGTGCGACGCCACCAAAAAAGTCTTCACCTGGTACAATCTCCAACCTCTATCCCATCCAGTCCCAGTGTCCAGAAATTTGCCGGGTTTTTCAAAAAAACCGCCGTACGCGACCTGGGAGGGGATGTAGTGAGTGATTGCGCTATTTTCAAGCCTATCGTAAGTATGGTCTGCTAGTTAGCTTCTGTGCCGAGCGGGCAGCTGTGGCGGAGGGGTGGGGGAGGATGCAAACCGAGAAATCCAACAATCGAGGAAAAATTTTCTCGACTTGGGAAGAATCATCTTCAAGCCAACGGCGGCATTGTCAAGCAGCACGCTGCTTCTCGCTACAGATGACCAGTATTCTCTCGAGTTCTCTACTCTCCCAGCAGTTGAGGGGAGAAGGTAAAGAAGTAGGGAACAGAGAAGGAAGGAAGGAAAAGAAGGAATGAGGAAGAAAAAACGAAAGAGGAGGAGAAGCTTAGCTGTTGAAAAGTGCCTTGAGACGCCTACAACGCAGATACGACTTTTCCCGCTGGCGCGGCCCTTAGCCCTGTCTAATGGGATCCCAACAGATTGCTTGCACCCTTGCGAGGACGACAAGCATACGAGAACGCGTGCGGCACAGATAGCCGTCAAAGCGCTTTCAAACCCTATGTGCCTGGACCAGCAGCTCTAGACGGATATGTAACACCGTCGCGCTCCAGCTACGTTTGTGGATACTCCCCTGAAACGCGGAGATATGGGCCTGGAGGTGAAATGATAGAGAAGTGATGGAGTCCAGACCGTTTTGAGACGGTGATGGTGCGCTTGCGTACCATTTTTTAATGAAAACAAGTTTTGAAAAGAAGGAAACTTACGAGTCCATGGCACGTCGTCGTTGAAATGAATATCACCGATAACATGTGACGGATCCTCATCAGGATCGAACGATACTCCTCGTGGGCGGAACGCATGGGCCAGTACTGTGGGCGTGAATGGATACTCGCATTGATGCGATCCGACCTGTAGGTTACTGTTCAGGCATCTTAAAGGTATTTTATTCAAGAAAGCACACGTCGGTAAAAGGCAGACTTTGAGGGCGAAGTCTGGAAGAGGAATCACTGGAAAAAGGAGGGGTCATTGGAGCAATTTAGGGCTCTATCTTCTCTACATTACAACCTTCAGCAGCGGAACTGGCATGAGGTTGTTCATTGCGGTCCAGGCTACATTCCCACACAGCCTTTGACATTTTCGTGTGTTCATCGCGGACCGTTCCTTCAAAGCACAAACCCTCTTGCCATATTATCTCAAGAGATTTTGCTGTGGAGCGCGCCGCGAAGGTCCACGTACTCGGTTGTGCGCGGTAGACAGTTGCCAGAAGCACGTGACGGCTTATGTATGAGAGAGCGCAGACGACTCAAGAAAAT